TGGGCAGGGAGGGTTAGAGCTCTGGTCCTAAACTCCTGCATTTCCCCTTTCAGAAAAACTCTCTGGAAAACTCCTTGGCAGAAACTGAATCTCGCTATGGCTGCCTGCTACAACAAATCCAAGGGCAGATTAACTCTGTAGAGGAGGAGCTGGCCAACATCCGCTGTGAGATGGAGAGTCAGAACCAGGAGTACAAGATGCTCCTGGGCATCAAGACCCGCCTGGAGCAGGAGATTGCTCAGTACCGGGCACTGCTGCAGGAGGGACAGCAAGACATTGTGTACGTATTCCATACTATAGCAAGGAAATAAAAAGAAATCCTGTGTACTTAATTGCTAATAGATACTTCTTGTCCATGGAGCTATAACAACATCTTTTTTGACCGAATATCCAGTGGTTAGGTGTCTTTTGGTGAATTAATTACTTTCCTTTTACAGTGCCTCCCAAGGAGCTTTCCAAGGGGGTGGTAAATCGTCCCATTCATATTCTACTTCCTACTCTCATTCTCAGTGTGGTGACATGACAGGTAAGACAACACTTTGTAAGAATATGTTTATTAGTGGGTTACACCTGCCCCAAAGACTACAATGTATTTTGTCAGAAAAAAGTTTTGTATTTTTGGCTGGGCAAGATTCCTAGGTGCAGTAGTGCAGGAGTGAGAGAACCTCACTGACTCTGCCACAGAGGAATGAGGTTAAAATACAGTCTCGCCCTTCTCTCTACCTAAATATAAAATACAGATTATAAACTTTACAGAATGGGGTATGCTTTTTTGCTTATTGGAATGAAAAAAAATACAGTTCTGAGAAAGCACCTAGGGTATTGCTGGGCTTGGAGCCTCTGAGCTTCTCTTGCTAACGCAGCATGTTAGGTGAAAGAATTCAGTTCAGCAGGAAAGATTAGATTTCCCCTTAAGGCAATGATTTGCTCTGTCTTTATACAGGACAGTCAAGAGTGTGCTAGAGCAATAGCAGTGATGCTGGCAACCTCCAGCTGAGAGGCACTGAACCTGGACCATGAGAGACTGAAGCACTTCTGCAGTACAGCTGATGCAACTGGAATAATTGAGAAGGAGTGCCTGGTCACCCGCCTCATCACCCCTTCTTTCATTCTGCAATGCTTGTCTTGCTCAACTTGTCTTTGTCAATTGGTTCTTTGTTTAAGGGCTTAAATTCTGCTGATAACACTGCCTCTAATAAAACTTTACTTCTGCAATGCAAATAAAAACAGTGTGCCTGAGAAATTTAATTTAACAAACTTTGAACAGGTATTTATCAAGCTAACCAATCAAATACAGGTTGCCCTATCATACTTTGTAACATAGTCTCAGGAAAATCTGGTTTGTACTAAGAAAATGGACACCATGCTGAGATAATATCACTGAGTAAAAGGAAATTCACTAATTCTGAGCATGGCTGTATGAAGGCTGTATGAAGTGTGATGTCTTCCAGGCTCTGCCTATGGGAACTGTCAGTCAGGTGAGAGTGTCAGAACTCTCTGCTCAAAAACAAGCGGTATTAGGTTGAAAACAGAAATCCATTCTTGACACAATTTTTCTCCTTCCTGTGAAATTATAAACCATTTACCATTTTGTTTTCTAATGGCCACTAACAGATTACTTTCTGGCCCCTTGCCTTGCTGCTTTTTACTGAAGACACTCTGAATGATGTGAGTGAAAGGAGAAAGAAAATACCAATGATGGGTAATGCTCTGAAGATTATTTAATTAACTGTTAATGTACTAAACTGTGTTCAGCCACTACTATGACTCATCTGAGTCCATTAAGCTTTGGCTTTACTCAGCTCATCATAGCTAGGGTTCCTGTGAGAAGGTGTGACTCAGTATAGGTTGTTCCAGTACATCTGGGTTTCCTGACATCAAGTATTTCTACACCTTTGACTACACAGAGAATTACATATTGCTAACTTCTGTTAGGAAATACAGCCAACAAGGCAATGTGCCTGTTTCCTTCAGTTTCATGCACCAAAAACATTCCCATGTTTTATGATAGAAATTTCAATTCAAACACAAATATAATACCAAGAACCCAATTTTTGTCGGTACACTCAATTGGCTGATACTATGCCTTAAGAGGAATGAGAGAGACATATTTCATCCACTGAAAGTATTTTCTATACTTTATTTTTCTGCTTAAGAAGACAAAATATGCAATAAAATTGGAGATGAGAGGGCAATACTACATTAGAACAGCTATTTTATAATATTTTGCTTTCTGAAGATGACAGTGAAGCCCTTTTTCAATCTCTGTGTGCATCAGATGCACAAAATCAACCAGGTTTCATTCAATTATAAGCACCTGTTGTTCCCTTCTCCACCTATCAAATCTGGTCTCTAGTATTTGCTGTTTCATTTAAGACTGAGGGTATTCTGTTAGGGTAATTGAATGAAAGGTTTTCTCATCATAAACAACTTACAAGGGTATTATTTAGGTTAGGTCTTCCTTCACTAATCATGTGGCTTGGCTCTGCTATCACACTATTGTAATTGCAGTCTGCAGTAAGTATCCACAAAGAGATACTTTCTATTCATGTCAAAAAAACAGGTTTCCAAACTGACGTTTTTCAGGCCAGCATCAGGAATTTGTATGAACAAAAGCACTCCTCCAAAGAAAAAAAAAGGGTCATTTCAGGTTTTAACAGTATAGAAAGTGAGGTACAGCAAATGCAGACCGGACTTTCATCTCCAAAGGCTGCCAGAATTCACATCTCAGCTGTACTTAACATAGCCAAAACAGCTTAAGAAGACGTCTTTTTTGAGGCAGTATTATGGAAACTTGAACTACAGTTAGTGTATATAAATAAGTACTGAAAGGTTATTTTGCTTCCTTCTAATCTTCCAGAAGTACAGAGAAGTATTAGAATGATCAAAAATACAGTCTTGCGCATCCAGAGAACTCAAGGGAACACCAGAGCTGCAGTATGTCTTTCCCCATTTCTGAACTAATTTGTAAGAATGCAAGGTCTTTGTGAAATAGGCAGCACTATGAAGAGTCTTAAGTTAAATCTGCAAAACGAAAGCTATGCAAAATCTTCAGACTGAAAGGAGTGGATGCACTGCAAGATTGCCAGTCACTGCAGCAGGATTAGGTCACTGGTGGAGTCCTCCTTCTGCTGACAGTACAACACCTTTTGCATATCACCACTGATTCATGAGGCACTAACCTCCATCTAAGAATGAGGCAAGGGCTGTCCTGGGGAAAATGCATGGAACATGCCATAGGTGTGCCAAAAGCACAGCATGCCTCACTGCCTCCATCTAAGGCTGGCAGATGCTCCAGTAACCTTGTATATGTTCAGTCAGGTATCTCGATATCACTGTCTGCTCCTGGCACTCACTTCACTTCATCCATGGTTCTCAGAAAAAGCAATACGGTTGCTTAACGTTCTGAAAAGATCTACAGGAAAGACAAAAAAGGGCTTTGGCAGGGAGGAATTTAGAATTCAATTAGTTAACATCATTGATAATAACAGCATATTCTAGCAGGTAGAGAGAAAGAGAATAGGAAAGGATTGCTACACTGGAAGAGCTTAATTTCTCTTGGGAATTACTTTTAAACTTCTCCTTTTTCAGTGGTAGAAAGGGCTACTGAACTAACAATTTAGATAGACTGTAGAATTAAAATAGCTCACATTTAATAGGATTTTCTTTAGGTCTCCATGTGTGCAAGATATAAGGGTCCAACCCAGGGAGTCACATAAGAGAAAAGTAAGAAAAGTATCTGGGGCTATGGAAATCGTTCATCTCTGAACAAACTGAAGAAATGCACAGGTAAGTGATGCTGAAAGTTGATGGGTGACAGATGAGGAATGCACAGATGGAGCTCCTGATGAGACTCACGGGCGTAGCACTCTTCTTACCAAGACCACAGTTGACTCATTTGTTGTAGAACAATTAATTACCAGTAATTGTTTCTGAGGTTGTCCTCTCCCTCCTGTGTGACTAAAGACATATACCCAGTAATAGCATCATAGCTTCTGTGAAAACCACTGACTACTTTTGGGTTTTTTGCCAATTCGGAGTATCTGTTTGTGGCTCTGCATCCAGTTTCACCAGTGAGCAAACAGCACTTGGAAAGGCTTCATAACACTGTTACTTCAAACAAACTTTTCTGATTTACAGAGGCTCATGGGGTGCATTATGAGCAAGAAGTCTTCCAGGGCAAGATATGATTTCAAAGCTCTAACAGTCTCTTCAAATGGCTGAGGAGCCTCTATACCCTCTACAACAGAAGATGTCTGACCTTTTTCTGTCATCGCAGGGATTACAACTGTTAATGGACCTTAAGAGACTTGTGAAGTAAATCGGTATGTCCACATTGACTCACAACAGCCACCTCAGGCCAAAGAGCTGTGTCCACAGGATGGTGGACCAAAAATGCATAGGAGACATGGAAATACCCATGAGTTATGGAATAGAAAGTCTAAAGTTTAAGTATTTGTGACACAGTTACAGCAGTAAGCATAGTTAGATCAGCTATTAAAAACAAAAAAAAAAAGAAAAGAGGGACAGAGAGACAGAGAAAAGGCATCTGTTGATGGTATGAAATTACAGCATTGGGAAATGTTTGAAATTGTTGGGTTAGATATTATGATGCAACAATGCCGAGAAGGAGATATAAAATCAACACCTCTGGCATTAATGCCAATCAGCAATAAACATCTCATAGGGAAGAATAAAGGTGCATTTCAACAATCTAATGAGGAAAATATGACTAAGGAATCACACCCTGTGAGAAAATAATTTTTATTTTTTAATAATGATGACTCAGTCTCAATAACATATGCAAAGCAACTGGTTCTGACGTGCAGATAATTAGAGACCTACCAATAAAAGAACAATCATAATTATGAAGATCAAAGTATTACATTATCTTCAGCATATCTATGAAAATCTGTGTAGGGGTATCAAGAAAGAGGGTAAATGGCTTTCTGTGATTCTTCAGTCAGCCATAACACGCATTAGTAACTTTTATGGGTCTCATAATTGTTACGGCTAAGAGAGAAAATGTTGCTCCAGCCACAACTGCAAGCTGTGTATAAGTAAGATCGTAAATGAAGAAACCAACAATGAAATGAACTAGTAATTTTTAACTTCCAAACAGAGATGAATTCCCATCAATGTTTAACTCCTACATAAAGAGGCCCCTTGTCTTTCAGGCTTAAAATGTATGTTTTCCAGAAGTTATTTAAAGGCAAAATTTCATTTCCAAAGGAGGGTTCATCATATCCTGTTCTCTTACAGAAATGCTGCAATTGTGCAGCAGTGTTAGAGACCTCTGCAGTGTTAGAGAGGCAAAAGATAGAAGGCAAGGGGAACTAAAGGGTCATCATAGCTGTCTCTAATGTATGAGGATAAAACCCCTACCATCAACTGATCAAGGTCAATCTCAAAACTGTTTCTCTTTTCCATCCAAAGCTCCCTCAACAGAAGCACCTTCCAGACCCCTATGCCTCCCATAGATAAAAAGCTCCCCTTAGTTTCCAGCCCAGATACACTCAAAACCAGATTATGCCCTTTCCTATGTGGACAACAGGATTGTCCTTTATTTTAAATAGCCATGGTATCTCCTTTCTCCAGAGCAAGCTGATAATCATCTTAGCCTCCGTTTTGCTGAGTTGAAAAGCTGAATCCTTTTGCTTTCCTCTCCCAAGACAGAGTCAGTGATACCTTATAGATTCTACACATCTATTTCAGTTTAAAATAATCTTTGAGTGACTGGAAATCTGCACAAAATTTAAAAAAATAATAACTTTAAAATTACATTTCTGCATGTCCATTGCTTTGTGCAAGACATATGATTATTTCCTGGAAGTGATACTACAAGAGTTTGGTGAAAACAGAAATATCACTGCTTCTTTAAAGGTTATTCTATTGAGATTCACCACTAAGCATTCTGAAAGACAGTGCCCATGATGAGCTTTCTGTGTAGGGAAGGACCTAAATTCTTAGAGATTCTGTTTCCAGAAGTGTCAGTTACTGGCAGTTCTGCAGGCAAAGTGAAAAAAGAACCACACACAGTGTGCCTGACTTTGTATTTCTCCAATTCTGAAATTAAAGCAGAGTAACTAGATGGTGCTTTCACCACCTGCTTTCAGGACAAAAAAATTACTACAAAGAACAAAGAAGAACTATTAAAATGAGTTTCACTCACTAAGTAGCCAGCAACATACTATCTGAAACAAAATCTAACACACAGCCACCCACCTGAAATTATAGTGCATGCTTTGGGTGAATCAGCATGCAAACACAATACCAATGGGGAGGGCTGTCCCAAGCCCCAAAAGAAATTCCCCTTAGCACATCACTTTTGGCATGAGCACTAAGGCTGGCAAACTTCATGGGAAGCTGGACTGCCTTACAGGTGACACCCACCCAACAAGGTATAAATAGCCATCACTGAGGAGAGAAGACTGCAGTCTGATTTTCCGCATCAAGCTGTGCACCAGGCTTTGCATTTGGGGCTGGATATCTGATTACTTCCACCATGAGCTGCAGCATCAAGAGAACATCTAGTACCTCTTACAGGAGCGGTGGAGGTGGAGGCGTCTGCGGTGGTGGTAGTGGCAGGAGTTCCTCTGTCTCCTGCAGGCGATATGCCTCCTCTGTGATAGGCGGTGGAAGCTATGGTGGGGGAGCATGCAGCATTGGCTATGGAGGGGGCATGAGCGCTGGCAGCCTTGCTGGTGGCTTTGGTGGAGGCTTGGGAGGAGGCTTTGGTGGTGGCCTGGGGGGAGGCTTTGGTGGTGGTTTTGCAGGAGGCTTTGGTGCTGGGGGAGACATCCTTCTGAGCGGCAATGAGAAGGTCACCATGCAGAACCTCAATGACCGCCTGGCTGCTTACCTGGACAAAGTACGAAGGCTGGAGGAAGAAAATGCTGAGCTTGAGCACCACATCCGGGAGTGGTACAGGAAACAAGCTCCCAGTGTTTCAAAGGACTACACCTCCTACTACCAGACCATCGAACAGCTCCAAAATCAGGTAGGATAGCCCCGACTAACATGGCTCCATCTCCTGCCTGCTCTTCTCCTTTGTAAGGACTTCCTCCTTCCCTCTGGCACTGGCTCTAAAGCGGTGGGAGGGAGCTACTGGATGGCTTTGCTGGTGGTACCGCAGGCAGAAAACTGCTGAGCTGCGCTTCCCATCTCTTGGGGAAGCAAACCCCCACAACCACCCCACAAGTGAAAGGGCTGTGCTGTGGGGGCACAGCCTGAGGCATCAAGGAGTGCTCCACCAGGCCCAAACATGCTGGCGCACGTAACTGAAATCCCACATTGTACAGGTGGCTCCAAACCAGGCATGTGTGGTTTCCAGTCCTTCCCTCTCCTCCCACCCAGTCCAGCTGGATGGAGTGCAAAGCCAAAGCACCTGGACTGCAAGATCTGAACTCCCTTTGTCTCTGCACACTTCTACATATACCAGCTGGAAGGACCAAGGCCTTCCCTTACAATCGGCTTTTCTTATAATGAGGCGAATTACAGCATCAGGGACAAAGACTACACTTCCTTACACACCCCGAGTGCAGAAACCCATAGGTGTTGGTGATCTCCCAGCATAAACATTCTTCTGTTCTTTCCCTCATCAATATTTTCTTTCATCAGAATGTCTGGGGAAGCCAAAATCTTGCACACACCAGTTCCTGTGGCATGGCTTTTCAACAACTTTCTGTAACAATGCCCTACCAAAGCTTTAGGTCTTCTTTCTTCTTGTCCTGGATGTCTAGAACACAGAAAGACTCCTCTCCAACTTCCCCTTTTGCAGATCATTTCTGCCACTGTGGACAATAACAAGCTGCTTCTCGACATCGATAACAGCAAGATGACTGCTGATGACTTCCGAATGAAGTGAGTACCTCTCTGTGAACCTTGCGTCTTTCATGTCATCAATTTTACAAGATTCATGAATGCACGTTATGACACCCTGTTCTAAGTGGTATGACCAAGCCTACACATTGTAATGAAATGAATGTGTAATGCTTTTTGTCTTTGGTGAAGGTATGAGAATGAGCTGGTCATCCGTCAGACTGTGGAGGCTGATATTAATGGCTTGAGAAATCTCCTGGATGATCTGACTCTGGTTAGATCTTCACTGGAATCCGAGCTAGAGTCCCTGAAGGATGAGCTGATTGCTCTTAAGAGAAACCATGAGGAGGTACGATCCAATGATACGTAGTGTGTCCAAGACATAGTCCTTTGTCTCTTCATGGTTCCCAAAGTTACATATCAAGTCATTTCAGCCTTATGTCATGTGACTGTCATTCCTTTGTACCTTGATACTGCTTTGTCCACTGTCCCCAACACAAGAAATGACCTGTGCTCTTTTGTTTCTCTCTGCAGGAAATGAGACAGCTGCAGTCTCAGACCGGTGGTGACGTGAGCGTGGAGGTCAATGCTGCCCCTGGTGAAGACTTGACAAAGATACTGAACGACCTGAGAAACGAATACGAGCAGATCATTGAGAGGAACCGCAGAGAGGTTGAGCAGTGGTATGAAGTCAAGGTACGTAGCAAAGCACAAAGTGGAGTCTCCTTCTGTGGCAAAACCCAGACACCCTGGTACTGGCCATGCAATGCCTTTGGCTAAAAGGAGGTGGCTGCTCACCTGCACCTCACTTGCACAGCTCGGGGAATGGGAAGGAAAAAGCGGCTGGGGAAAGACTGCAGTGGCAGAGAGGGAGCAGGCCACATCTGATGTGCAAAGGGGGGTCAAACGTCAGGGTGTACGGAGCAATGACTAGGCTGTCCTCGATGAGGACAGGATGAAAGGGAGAGGCTCCCTGGCTATCTTAGTTCTCAGTCAGCAAATCTGCTCCCTGAGGGGATTTTTCTCACTCAGAAAGTGTGTTTGGGGTTTGACTCCTGCAGATTGAAGAAGTCAATCGGCAGGTCACTTCTAGCAGCCAGGACATCCAGACAAGCAGCCACCAGCTCACTGAATTGAGACGTGAAATGCAGAACCTGGAGATCGAACTGCAGGCGCAGCTCAGCACGGTACGTGGGGCAGGATCGCTGAGGGCCCTTCCCTCCTCAGAATGGGCAGGGAGGGTTAGAGCTCTGGTCCTAAACTCCTGCATTTCCCCTTTCAGAAAAACTCTCTGGAAAACTCCTTGGCAGAAACTGAATCTCGCTATGGCTGCCTGCTACAACAAATCCAAGGGCAGATTAACTCTGTAGAGGAGGAGCTGGCCAACATCCGCTGTGAGATGGAGAGTCAGAACCAGGAGTACAAGATGCTCCTGGGCATCAAGACCCGCCTGGAGCAGGAGATTGCTCAGTACCGGGCACTGCTGCAGGAGGGACAGCAAGACATTGTGTATGTATTCTGTTTGCAAATAAGGATATAAATTCTATCACAATCTTTTCTCTGTTGGGACTCACAGAAGACAGAGTTGAATGTTCACCTACCAGTCTGTTGGTGAAATCTAAATACACAGGGGTTTTTACAGTATCTGCATTGAAATGTATACATCATAAACTTAATAAGCATATCAAACACAGAGGGAAACACAGAGCATATAGTCACTGACATATTTTCAATTAATCAGTTCCTCTTGGCCTGTTTGTGCAGAGTGAATTCCATGAGAGGAATCACCATACAAAACCAAACTGTAATCTACTGCCTTCTGTCAGCAGATGAGCAAGCACAGCTGGACTGTGAGAGTATAAGAATTATACTTCTACAGCCATTTGTTATTTCTGCTTCTACAGCTTTCTAGGAAAATATAGCTGAAGGGAATGAAACAAAAAAAATATAAAGAAATACTTGCAAAGTCCAGGAAAAGCTGAGCTGTTACATGCACTGCACATTATGTCACAGTATGTCTGTTTATGCATGTATTTACCATTCCCTTCATTAAAGCTCCTTTCCTTACACAGAACGTCTCAAGGAGCTCTCCAAGGAGGGGGAATATCCTCCCACTCTTATTCTTCTACTTCCTATTCTCATGGTCAATCCGGTGACAAGACAGGTAAGAAACATCTTCCAAAGAGGATCCTAATTTATCCTGTCCCCATGGCTTTCATATTTTGTTTCACCTCTTTTCTTGTTAATACTATCCCTTGTGATATGACTTCCACATTTGCAATTGCAAGAGGGATTAAACCATTCACAATCAAATCTCTTAATTTCAAGGTGTCTTAGCTTCAGTTACAGAAACAGAGTAAGCTCCTTTCCCATGCTTTTGCTAACACAGATGGACATTTAAACAATGGATACTTCTGAAATGTCAGTGCTGCAAGAGACTCTTGATTTCCCTATCAGAGTAATGGTTTCTTCTTTCATTCCACAGGGCAGTCAAGAGTGTGTTAAGATACTACTGATGCGTTGGTCTTCCCTGAACTACCTACTGCCATCTGAGCAGCCTGGCCTACAGCGTGATAATACACACAGCACATGCACTGTGTACCTACCCAATGCACAGATTGCTTTACAAATGTTATTCATGAAGTCGAGATGAATAATTTCTAGGACTTTCCTAAAATTATCTACTTTTTCCTTTTTATACTGTTCTTCACATGCAATCACTGTATCTATGTACACTTACCTGCAGTGCAATTGCTGATCTACTTTCTGCTGATAACAATGCCTCTAATAAAACTTTACTTTTCTGCAATGCAAAGAAAACTGTGTCCCCAACAATCTATTTGGTATATTAATATTGTATTTAAATTTAGGTGGAACAATGAGATATATCTTCACAGAGAAATTAAGTTTGGGTGTATTATGTAATATGGCCCCAAAGAAAATTGTGTATCCTAACTTAATCAGATGATGTCTGGATAAAATATTGGAGATGAATGAATACATTCACATTAAACTCAAGAGTGACACCTATAGGGAAGAAAAAAGGATGGGTGAACCCTTTTTCATAGCGTACATTGCAAGGGATGTGCAAGCAGTTGATTTGCCAGTTCAGCAGCTGCACTGAAACAATCAGAATTAATTAACCCCAAAATTTCATGAAAATTTTGTCAAATCAAAAACATTTTCCTTTGGGTCACTGAACGAGAAATGAACCATATTCAGGCAGCCCTCTCTCCCAGCTTTTAGATGAAGGGTCTATCTAATCTTGTTCAATAAAAGCAAAGGATTAGATCAGGAAATGAGTGATGAGTATGCAAATAAGTTCTCCTTATAACACAAAGTTCAGTTGTTAGGATTATTCCTTCTGACTTGCTGGAAGATCTGGGCTCAGGTCTTTTATCTGGTGGTTCAAAATAAAGGAAGTGTGTTCTCTTATTTCATAAGACAGTATTCCTAGCTCCATGGTTGTACAGTGTTCTGGATGGATGGGTGGAGGACGGCGGGGTGGAGGCAAAGTTCAATCTTTCTTACTAAAACTGCTCCACTTCATGTAACACACATTACTTGGGCTTGCCAGAGGAAGAAAAAGTAGTGAAATATCTCACTCATTTAAAACCTACAAATCTGTATTTCAGTCTTTGATTTGCAGTGGGCTGAGAAAGCAGCTTAACAGGGTCTACCACATATCAGGTAAGTGAGTCAACTGCCTCCCTGTACAAATAAGGGTGGGTCTCACAAGCCTTCATTGTTCTCTGAGTAAATCACTAACATTTTTTATTCTGTCAAACAGCTTTGCACTTGCACTTTGGTTTGCAAACAGATTCAGGTCAGGTAAAATACCATCTTTTTGGATAACAATATTATTTTATAAGGCATCAAACTGCCGACATGTTACAATACAAAGCTGAATTCTCAGCACAGCAGAAAAAAGAGATGAGCCAGAGAAACTATTTCCCTAGAAAACAAAGGAGATTTGTAAAGTCAAAGCAAAAATACCTCTCCCTTGAGCCACAACGGGACTCGCATGCTCCTGTACAAGCTAACACAGACTCACGTTCTGCCTTATGCTCCATTTTACTTCTCATATCAACCAGTGCTGACTACCTCAAAAAAAAAAAAAAAGTTCCAAACGTCAGCACTAGCCAGCTATAATGGACTTTGGGATGAAATACCTTATTTGACCACAGTTTAAATAGAAAGAATGTTTCTGATCCCAGAAAGGAGCCCATTGTGTTCTAAGCTGTCTGTCAGGAACATTGTCGAGTCTCCTGCTTCCTTTCTGCTCTCTCTCTTAAGTGGGAAAGGGGAGAAACCTCTGTGCTGGGTGTGCTGCCCTCAGTCTCTGCAGAGCATTTTAAGAGTAATGAACTCAGGGCGCGTCCACCGCTGAGCTGAGCCGAGCCAAGCACACCCAGGTCTGGCTTCCCTTTGACTTTGCTGGATGGACTTTTTAGGTAGGACTTACCAGAGCATAATTTGCCTATCAAAATATCAAAGCCCATCAAAACAAGACGGGGTGAGCTGAAATCAGTCTACATTTGCAGTGTCAACACAAGGGAATATTGTACTCTGCTCTTTTGTGGTTCAGTACAGTGCTGTTCCTCTGGCTAACCACACAGCAGAAATATGTCCTACAGTTTGGTACAAGGGATAGGCTTTTTTTGAAGCTGACAATGCAGCATGTCAGACCATACAGCCTGTCGCTTTGCACAGCAACCTCTAGTGGCAAATTCAGAAAATATACAATAGGATTTGTGGCAGAAACTGTTCAATATATTCTCAAAATTAAATTCAAGCCTCAGACCTTGGAAACGGTTAGGCCAAGGAAAGAACAGCGTAAATAATAATAAAATCAATACGTTTTTCACAGGGGTAACATTGTGATACCAGGGGTGTAATAAACCAGATTAATAGATTGACAGTAAAAAGGTTAGAAATCAATTCATTATGAAGGAGAGGGAAGAGAAAGAGGAACTATCTATTTCGCAAAATTTTGCTTGAAGGTTTTGAGGTAATTCCATATGAAATCAGCAAATTCAGATTAAGTCAAAACCTCTTGGATTGTTCTTGCATGCGTTTAATTAGCATTGAAGTTGTTTTGTCTCTGTTTTCAACTCATTTAGTAGCAACAGTGGCTGTCACAGACAGACAGGGAGCCTGGTATTACCAAGCAAAGAGAAGAATTTTATTAAGAATGAGGTTCAATTAAATGGTGCTGTGTTTAAAAAAACAGGCCTGTAGGGGGGACTGTGGAGATACTGGCATTTTGTACTGTTACTATTTCCAAAGGCAACCAAAGTTATTGCGCATTATAATCTTTGGGTGTGTTTGAGTTTCTTAGTTCTGGAAATTAATCATCTCCACCTGCATAATATGACATTTTCAGGAGGTTAGATGAAGATGAGAGGGGGAAATGGCTGGATAGAGAAGAACCCAAAATAAGAACCAGAAATTAGTGGACTGAATTCTCTGAGGGGCTTTATGCTGGATCAGAACTATCATGTACCTGCAGGATCTAGACCCGCAGCAGATGTTTTCATTTGCAAAAGCAGCTGTCAGGTATGGACAGGTACAACAGCCCATTGCTTCTAAGTCTTGCAGCTTTGTGCACACTCCTTCCAGTCTCTTGCACTCTTGGCTACAAGGAAATGGTATCACTGAGGCAGCACCTGCTGCCTGCAGCCTGGCCAGGCCCTTTCACTTCAGACAACATTTTGCAAGGTAGACTTCCCTCTTGGGCCACCCCTCCCCCAGTCTCAAGTAATAAAAAAAAAATAATCTGTGATTCACTGTGCCTCTGATAAAAAATCAGATGAAAGGCAGCTACTTTTGTGATACTTCTCACATTTACCAGCCTACCATAATAATGAAAATAATAGCAGTCAAGTTAAGCAAATACAAAAATTCTTGTAGGAAAATCCATTCTTTCTATATTCCAAGTAACATATTTCTATTAAGTTTCATGTAATACATAATATTTTGGAGTGCTAATCCCAATAAACTTCTGAATTTCTTTAAGTATTCTCACACTATGGCAGACATTAAGGGCAAATGGTCTCTAATGGTTGATACAGTGAACATGTAATTTCACATGCACTGGAGCTGACTTTCATAACTAACATTACTGCCTAAAGAGAAGTTTATGCACACTGCAATTACTGCTAATAACCCACTATTAATAAGCCCACGCTCAGAGATGCATTGCAAAGACTGGCTGCAGGGAACACCTTTCCACTGGCATGCACTCCTGTGCTTAACTAGTCCTGGCAGCAGGAGTGCAACTGTGGATCAAAGGCACTTACAGCCTTATTAATCAATATTTTCTTACAAAGTTTCTAATCTTAGTTCAGTTCTTTCCCACAACCCGATATCAGACTGTCAAAAATTATGGCAGTACCAAAAAGTTCATAGTGATTACACACACGTAAAGATTTTAAACAAATGCTGACAACTGCTCTCTGTTGAAAATGCATATCACGAGAACCTTACAGTTTTTATTAAAGTTGAATCCATCAGAAAAGAGTGAAAAGGCACTCAGTAAGTATTTCAGTCAACTTAATTTGGTGATGGTGGGCAGCCCAAAATATCTAAACAGCTGGCACAAACCTTAGTGATTAATTGAAAGAAGATTTAAAGCTGAACACAAGTGTCAGAGGCTGGTGGAAAATCATGGTTCTCCGTTACAGTTAATAGCCAGGACTGTCCGGGAAGGTAACCCACCTGATACACACAAATACTGTGAAATTTGCCTATAAACTACTTCTATCTGAAAACAGAGCAAACTGTTAAGAGTAGTTAGAAATACCCTTTTCTTTCCCTAAAGGTGTGCAGTCATTCTGTGCAGACAAAACCAGGGCTGCAGAACAGGTTTCCATGAGCTGATAGTTGCTATGAGAACAAGCTGTTTTAAAAACACCTCCCTGGCAATAGGTTTTCAAATTAGTAGCTACAGGACTTGCCCTCATAGAGCAATACAGTTTCATTTTCTCACTGAGCCTAACAGAGATCTGGAGACTCTGAGAATTTATCTCAAGCCAAAACCAGTATGAAACCACCTGTAGGATCAGGAAAGCCCAAATGCAGTTGACAGGATCCATCAGCAGTGGACAGAGCTCCTTGTTTTCTCTAATTTGATCCAGAACATGTGTTTAATGCTTGCACAGTGAAAGCCCTACCCTTACTGGAAGCCATGGCTTGTCACTGTGATCAGAATATATTCTTATAAAATTAGCAAGAGAAAAAATAATATATCAGTATATAAATACAAATATATAAATCTATGAGCACATAAACATAAACAATACAAATACAAATATGCTCTCCAAATCTTTCGCAGACATGAGCAGAATAAAATAGCTCATCTCTCTGTGGTATGAAAGTCATCTACTCTGTGTTTCTACCTAGCCTGGGATTTTTTTTTCGGTAGGAATTTTCCATGTGGCCTATGGGAAAATGTCCTCTGAATAGCTCTAAGCCTCCTCTTTCAGCATGAATCACTGCAGAAC